AATCCAATTAAAAATGGGCAGAAGACATGAATAAACACTTCACCAAGGAGGATACTCAGGTGGCCAACAAACATATGAAGAAATGCTTATGATCATTAGCCATTAGAGAGATGCAAATCAAAACAACAATGAGATAACATCTTGCCCCAGCACTAGCAGCAAAGTTTAATAAGGCAGAAAATAACAAATGCTGGTGAGGATGCAGAGAGATTGGGACTCTCATACACTGCTGGTAGGACTGTAAAATGTCACAACCACTGTGGAAAGCTGTATGGCAATTCCTTAAAAAGTTGGAATTAGAAATACCATTTGACCCAACCATTCCATTACTAGGTATATATCCTAAAGAAGTGAGAGCCATGACAAGAACAGACATATGCACACCCATGTCCATTGCAGCACTATTTACAGTAGCAAAAAGTTGGAAACAACCTAGGTGTCCATCAACTGAGGAATGGATAACCAAACTTTGGTACATACACACAATAAAATCTATGCAATCCTAATGAATAATGTAAAATCTGAAAAATACTACATAATGTGGATGAACTTGGACGACATTATACTGAGTGAAATAAGTCAATCACAGAAGGAAAATTATTATATTCATCCGTTATTGTAAAAGTCAAGGAATGGTTTATAGATGGAAGAAAATTTTCTTTGTTGGTTACCAGGGGTGGGAGGGGAGGGGAGGAACACTGTTAGATAGGTAGAGATAAGTATTGATTTGGGTGAAGAGAAGGGCAATGTACCAAATGTAAGTGATCAACATAGTGGCATTGAGGAAGAAGAAGACATAGAGAGGTACATGGGAGCTACAGACAACAAAGATGAACCCTTTTGCACATAGAGTACTGTCTTGTCAGTGAACGCAAACATGGGTATATGGGTGGATAGATGGGTGGACAGGGTGAACTACTAGGTATGTCTATTCATCAGAGAGTGTACCCAAGATCATGTATAGGGTTGCCAGACAATGGTTCTACAAGCAAGTGTATTTGTATGTTCTGTAAGAATTCCCAGGTGTATAGTAGAGCTGACAAGGGACAAGATTGTAGTCACTTCTTGGTCACAGCCAGCTACCCAGAGGGTGCGAGAAGTTGAAACTGTGGGTTCGGGACCATAGTCGCAGGGGACATCAAGCTCATTTGGCATAACATACTACACAAAACATTGTTCCACCTCTTACTTTGGCGAATAGTGACTGGGATCTTAAAAGCTTGCAAGCAGTCATCTGGATGCAACAATGAGTCTCTCCTCATCCAGAGCAAAGAAGAATGATGAAAACCAAAGATTCATGGAAACAATTAGTCCTAGTGACTGGTACACCATGCGATCTGCAGCCTAT